AATTTGGGATCAAAATTGGGCAAAGTTCCAGAGTATGACTGCAGCTTCATATATGTATGTTTTAATTTCATCCAATTTCATCCAATGTTAAAACACCATGTAACCATTATTACCAGTATGACGGAGGCACTGTAGAAATTTAAGAAATAGATTCTACTGACAGTTAACATGCCACCATTTTTTAAAGTCTTATTTATGAACTCTAGATGGTTTTGAGATAGTTTTTTTTTTCATTCAACAGACACCGGAAGAAAAAGATGGAAGCAGTAACCGAAGAAACTGAGTTTGAATTCAATTTAATCTAATTAAAAATTATACAAAGCACAAGTGGAACAACATTCTTCTTACAAATATTGCATTTGAGAGCATATGGATATGTACAACTTTGCCATTCTTTACATCCAAGGTACTCTTGTCCTGATAAGGTTCAAGATGAAGTTGTGCAAGGAAAAGGAAACCTGATAATAATCCAATTACTTCCGTGATAAATTGGCAATTACCAGAAATGTACCACCTGAACACAAATTGCTTTAAGAAATGAATATAACTTATCTTACAATGCATGAAATGCCAGGGGCTCCCTCCTGATGGAAGGCAAATGGGATAGTGATTTTTCACAGTTCCTTTTTTGTTCAGGTGATTGGATGGGTGATTTTGGGATGAGGAGACTGGAAGAGGAGACAATTTGGCAACTACCGAATCTTCCCGTAGATAATTCAAATTCATGGCCTTCCCCTCTTCTCAACTCTAAATTCCTCAAATTCCAGTTAACAATAATTGGGTGGAAAAGTATGCAGTCTGAAATTGTGCTGTGAAAGTTACTTTCCCTTATAACCAGCCCCTCAAGCTATACCCAGCATGACAGTACTTCAAAGATTCCAAATGATTTAATAGTCAGGGCAAACATCATCCCATTTCCACTTGTCAACTTCCCTGGTGCTGTGAATAGTTTCAGTGGCCTCTGTGGGTGATCATACTCCATCTCTCTTTGCAAATTTTACTTGGTACGGAATAGGACATTTAAAATAAGACATTGGTAATCCGAACATTTTTGAAGCAAACTGAAAAAGATAATAACTGGAATTGGATTCCGCACTATCCAATTCTTTGATTATATTTATAACCTAAAACAAAGGGATGAATACCACATAAAATTAAAGGACAGTGTATTAATAGAGCTATAAACATGTGCATGACTGCAAATAAAACACAGAAGATACCTTTTACAGGTCATATTTGTGACCCACAAGAAAGGTTCACAATATGTGTTCAAGATGTTGACTCTAGAAAACAGAAAACTTTCTGTGGAAGTTTCTATTGATTGGCTAGTTGGATCTTCGGTATAAGAAATAAATAAGAACTAAGCCATGAATACTCTTTTAGGCTACAGCTACAAAATCCAAATAAGAATTCATTCAACACGGGTTCCCAGTGGTTCCTTCCATTTGGCTACCCTATGCCATGCAATGTATCCTAGAACTACACATAGCAAACAGAGAAGTATGCAGCTGAGTTTTAAAAAAAGGGAACAAACTCCATTCACAAGCCTAACAATAGGCTGACTGCATTAAAAAAAACAACCAATATTATCTTTCTAACTGTAAGAGGCAAGTTGTGAGAACTTACTATTTTATAGAGCCTTCACTACTTTACATTCTGCTTTTGGCACATTTTGCCATTGGGTTCAATTACAGCCTTGGGTAAGTGAGATTGAAGGAAAATACTGAACAGGGAAGAGCCCACATATTCCATTTAATCTAAGAGACAGAGAAAGCTCCAACACTGGAAGTTTTTAAGAAGAGACTGGTCAGCCATTTGTCCGAAATGGTGTAGGGTTTCCTGCCTAAGCAGGGGGTTGGACTCAATGACCTCCAAGGTCCCTTCCAACTTTATTATTATTATTACTTTGAGTCACATGGTCCTTAAGAAGATACAAAATGGGAAATTTCCTAGTTCTGTGTAATGTAAAGCTTGAAAGGGTCGCTCAGGGAAGGACAGGGTTTCTAATAGTTAAAATTGTTTTATAAAAGAGAATTTAATCCATTTGGAGGTCAAAATCAGTATTAACAAGGGACCCTTTTAATTTTTCTACTGAAAAGAGGTTTTTTTTCATTTTGTTATATACAAAAACTATTTTTTTTTTAAATCGCCTATATAAATAATTATACATTATGTCCCATTTCCTGGAAATAAAAGTAATTATAATTCTTCAGTAACAAGATGGCTCTGTGTTCTTATTTTTTAATCATCCCCCTTTTTCTTCAGTCACAGAGAAATGTTACCTTCAGAAAATAATTTGGATTTTAAGTCTTATTACGAATTGAGGAGAATTTAGACCAGCAAACATTTCTGTTTAGATCAACAGTACTTGCATCAAAATCAAAGTTAATATAAGGGAGGAGTGGATGTATTTACCAGTTGAAAGAATGAATTGGATTTGAACTGTAAGCTTCTGGACATTTCTGTTCATGTTAAAATGATGGAGAATATGCATGCCTTTTATATTTGTAGTCCTCTCAAATAATGTAATGTGAGTTAAGTATTTCAATAACGTTCAAAATGCAGTTTCTGACAAAAACATTGTTGGAAACTCACTGATGATTTTGAAATGGCTCTTTCGTGATGAAAAAACAATGCAAGGTCTTTGTTAATTCTAAAAATATTTCTGCCATCTAAAGCGCTTCCTTGCGTAGTTCGTAGAGAGATAAATGCAACTGGCATGTTACAAAAAGGAGGAGAAGAAAAGTATCCTCTTTGCAGCCAAAATGCAGCGATGAACTGCATTCAGTTAGCAACAATAAAGATGGCTAAATCAATGCACTTCAAGCACAGTATTTCAGTGTACAGAATTTTCACACTGGTATTCATAGGCTTTTATAAAACAGAAGATACATTCACTGTTTCCCATGGCTCCATGCTGCAATTACAGTTCTTTTAAAAAGTAGAATTTTTTGAAATTGGATCACAGATGTTTATTTTCAATGGATATTGAAAACCAAAGGAATTGTTACAACTCATTCATCCACAACCATGAAATTACAGCTCTAAGGTGTTTGCACTTTTAGGAACATACCATCATGAACTGAAAAGGGGGTGGGAGGTGTTGTCTCTTGTTTAGACCAGTTCTAAACTTCTCCAGCTTCAAACCCATTAGCAATGGAGAACATCGAGAAATTTAAGGGTTTTTACTCATCTTAGACTTAGACTCTCTATAGATGATTTAAAGGAGAAGCAGGAAAAAGATTTTCAAAAGCACAATTGATAGGAAGCCAAATTATACCTGAGACAAAAAAGAAGATTCTGCGAGGAAAAAGTTACGATATCCTGTTGTCTACCTATGTGTAACGACAAAACTAGAATATCCACAACTTTAGGGTCCCGTATTGTATCATTTGTGCCTTTGAAGATCTACACACTGAATTTGGATTTTTAAGCCTATATGAATCCCACACATGAAATGAAACTTAAAATTATCCTTCTTTTCACATTTCTTTTTAGTCTCTGATTATTTCACTCACCCACCCACAAAATGTGTATAAACCGAGGCACAACTGGTTAAGGATGAGACTGGGCATGATCCGATCTAGCAGCTGCTTCTTGCACTGGTATATTTCCTGGCGCTAAAGGCTGATTGCTGCTCACTGGATGATTTTGCACATTTCCATCTAATTGTGACACAGCTGTAACACAAAATATTTTTTAAAAAATGTTAATGGTTTCATAATACAAAGCTCAAAAACTCATTAAGTAATGTTTAGAAAAAGTCCAAGTACAAACAGTATTTGCATAAGGGAACAGAATATTTCATCTACATATAAAATGTTGCACAAAATATATAATACACATTATTGTTTGACATATTATTCTGATATAATGGTAGAAGCTTTGAACATGATGCTCGCTGGTGGGACAAACAGCCGTATGACCTGTGGACGCCGAGGGATGGAGCAGCTTGCTCTCCTTCTCAACATGAGCTCCAAAACTTTCTGGAGGACATTTCTAGTAAAAGGTAACTTGTTGCATCCATTTGGTTCCTTAACTCAGGTTTCGTTTCTCCTGAAAAGCCTGAAGCCTGCCTTAGGTTTCATTTCCTGACTTAAGTTTCATTTCTCCTGAAAAGCCTACCTCAAAGAATGAATACCTCCTAATTTCAAGTTTCCTGTTCTTTGTGTACTTCATATATGGCAATGAAGAGCCATCCCCCTATTGTCTTTTTGTACAACCCCCCTTTATGACGCTAATGTACCAATAAAAGAGAGGCACGGAGATCCTTCAGGATCTCGCCTGCCATCTCACCTGAAGAAGCATGTTGTCCGTGTGTTTCCTAACCTGAAGCGAGGTCCGTTGGTTTCGGCTGACGTACGTCACCACCGTCCTGCAGGGAGTGGGACCCCGGGATTTTGCAATCCCACAACTGATGACCCCGACGTGATTGGACTCCACGGCATGTTCTCTGTCTAGGGAAGCGCTGCTCTGACTCCTGTACTACGCACCTGGGATAGGCTTGATCATCGTAAGTATGGGCTCTTCACTTTCTCAAGTTCTGTCCAAGCATGTGGATGAACTTTTTAAATTAGTCAGAAAGGCAAATTGCTTGCAGAAAATTAACGGAACAACTATATATCCTCTATCTCGCAAAGAAATTATTTCCTTTATGCTCTATCTTCACAAACACTGTCCTGCTTATCCCAAGGGCGGCTCTCTTCGCCGATCCACCTGGGAACGTATTGGCAAATGGCTTCATGAACCACCCCGTGCCCCTACTGATATCCTCTGCACGTGGCGTGGCCTCATGGCCGCTCTTCAAACTTGTACCCTGATTCTGGTTCTCTATCTGTGTCTGCTCCGGAGGACGCTCCAAAATCAGCACAGCCAAAAGAACCCCCTGCTTCTTTGTATCCCTCTTTTTCCTCTCCAAGTGCTCCTCCTCCCTATTCTGCCGAGTCGTCCTCTTCCTCTTCACCTTCAGGTTCTCCGTCTCCCTTGGCTCAGGGGGGCACCGTCCTCCGCGCTCTTCAACAAGCACGGGAAGACAGATCTTTGGACCCGGAAGATCTTTTCTCTACTTCTTCCTCTTCTTTGTTTCCACTGGTTTGGGGAAGGGGCCCCCGTGGGGGTGCCGCCCCCCCAGTCTATCAAACTATGTCTTATAAAATCATTAAAGATATTAAAGGGGCTGTTCGAGATTATGGTCTCCAGTCTCGCTATGTACAAGGCTTACTTCACTCTCTTTC